CCAAAAAATGCTACCATAGCGCAAATCAATAGACTCGCCTCTACGCGGCCCTGCTCTGTTTTCCATTGCAGATAGTACCCAGAGATGGTACGTAGCTTGTTGTCATAGCGACGCCACACACAACTGCCGCGACGTAATGTTCAATGCGACACACACACACCAGCGATCCACACAGATTTCTCTTTTTTAAGTTAAAACTTTTCAACATTGCTCAGAATGTAAAGACAGATAAGCAGTATGAAAACCTTCCAGCTGTGTTTTCCTCTGCCGTTGTTGCTGCAGCGGTCTGTGTGACGGCGGGAGCAGAGGGCTCTGTGAGCGGGCGGCTGGCCGGCCTCACACGCTCCTAACACGGGTTGGCGCAGGCTTCCCCTGCAGCCACTCGCGGAGCTTCTCAACTCCGAAAATATTCAAGCACATTTTTGTTCCGCCATCACCTCTCATAAAACTGTCAATATTTGAAATCTGCACAGCTGATTTCTCACCTCAAAACTTCTCAGAAGTGGATTTAGTGATGAAATTCCATACGAAAACTGTAAAATATAAAACTGGTGCAGCAATGATGATGCAGTGAATAGTGAATATTCTCTCTGACCAATCAGCAGTCTGTCGTGTTTTCACGTTACATTTTAGTATCCCTCAGCTCGCTTGGAACCTCGACGCAGGTGAGGCGATATAAAAAAAAGTACCTGGAAGCAGGTACAGGTACAACATTTCTACAATGGAAAACCAAACAAAGGCGAGTCGAGCCAAAGGGCCTCCGCTCAGACTAGCTTGGTTTGAGGGCGTGCCTGACCCCGCTAGCTGCTCGGCAAGCTTTATGACACGTTTTCATTGTGAAGTCACAAGTAAAGGAAGTGAAGGGCTGGACTACAAACGAGCTGTTTTCAAGTGGTTCAGAGCAGAGCTTTCTGTGGGAGATGGGAACTCCCTTTGGGCTGGACTTTGGGCTTTTTCACTTTGCAAACCTGTTGCACGCACAAAAAGATATATAACTCAATAAAGGAGAGGGAAAAAGCCAAAAAGCCTATGGTTCTGCTCGAGGTTTCTGCCTCTTAAAGGAAGTTTTTCCTTGCCTCTGTCGCCTAGTGCTTGCTCTTGGTGGGAATTGTTGGGCTTCTGTAAATACCATCACAGAGTATGGTCTAGACCTGCTCTTTTATGAGAAGTGCTGTGATTGTTTGGCGCTTTATAAATAAAATTGAGTTCCAGATCCAGATACTCGGCTGCCAGTGTTCTCACCCACACTAGGACGTAGCAGCACATCACCCCAATCCTCACTCAGCTTCATTGGCTCCCAGAGCTGAGACCATGGCGGCGTATTATCTGGCCAAGGGGGAACATGTAAATGGTGAAAAGGAGGGGTCCAAGCACAGAGCCTTGGGTCACACCTTGTTTGACTGGGGCTGGGGGGGAGCTGGAGTCTCTAAAGGTGATGAACTGTTCCGTATTAGAGAGGTATGACTGGAACAAGGAGAATACTGAACCGGTGAGGCCAACACATTCAGTGTTGGGGGGGAGTGTCAGGAGCAGGAGGTGGCAATTTTTGGTGAATGAAGTCCACTTTTGCCTGAATGTGTGGAGCAGAAGGGGCAGGGGTCATCATGAGGGCGGAGCAGTCAATTTATGGTGGAGAAGAGAATTCTGGTTGCTTTTGCAGGTTACCAATGAGGTTGGAATAGTATTTTGTTTTGGCCTTGGAGAGAGCTTCTTTATAACACCTCACATGGTCTTTGAAGGCCTCTAGGTGGACAATGAGGCCCGATTGTTTATGAAGCCTCTCCATTTGCCGACCAGCGGCCTTCAGTTCGGTAGTGAATCAGGGGGTTGGGCAGGAGACAGAGACACTCTGGGTCTTGAGGGGAGCAAAAGAGTCCAGGCTGAGAGACAAAGCTGTTTTATAGTGGGAGACAAGGTCATCCACCCCAGGGGCCGGAGGATCTGAGGCAAGGTGGGTCCCTACATTGCTGGCTAGGGATGATGCATTTACAGACTTGATGTTCCTGAATGTGATGGTGCGTTTGAGTTGTTGCCTGGGCAGAAGGACTGGAACATAAAAAGGATGGCACTGTGGTCCGATACAGCTAGGTCGATGCATTGCAGCTGAGAGGGAGTGATACCAGTGGAGCACACCAGATCCACTGTGGGAACTTTGGTGTGAGTGGGACCTTTGACGTGCTGCATGATGTTGAGGCAGTCCAATAGTGACAGGAATTCAGCAGCAAAGGGACAGCTGTCCACATGGATGTTGAAGTCAGTGTGGATAGAGACATGGAGCAGACGGAGATGAGTAGCTCTGATAACTCGGCCATGAAGATGGTGGAGGTTTTTGGGGGGGGCGATAAACAAGGACCACCTGGAGCTGTACAGACCCAGCCAGTAAAGCAAAGGCACTCAAATGAGGTGATGTTAGGCACTGGAAGTTCTTTCACTGAGATGTCAGCTCAATGTATAACAGCGAGACCACCACCACGACCCATGGAGCGAGACTTCTGTATGGTGGGGTGGCTTGATTAAGTGTCATGAAATCCTGCTGATTTTACCAAGTTTCTGTTAAACACAGAAAATCCATTTTCCTGTCAGTAATGTCATGTATAAGTAGTGCTTTATTATTTAGGGAGCGTGTGTTCAATAACATGAACATTGCAGTCTTGTTAGTAGGTGGTGAGACCAAAAGACACCTTATCCTAGTTGCCAAGACATTAAACTTGATGAAGCTTAATGTCTCAATGAAGCTTAATGACTCAAGTTTTGTGAAAACAGCGATTTGTGTAGCGGCGACACACACACGCCAGCGTCCTCACGCCAGAAAACTTTGATGGAGGTCTTAAAGTTGATTTAAGCATTTGATAAAAGGAAAAGTTATTGTTAATCGTCCTTTAACATTTAAAAACATTTCCTAGGGATCATAGCAGATGAAAGAGCATCTTAACTAAATACTTCCAGGATAATACTGATTAAATGTTAAATGTTCTTACTTAGAAAATATATAAGGATTCATAAGAACATGGCATCAAATTATAAACAATAAAACAGACAGTAATATAAATTAAGCACAAGGAGAGGCAGTTATGACAATGGCATGTAATACTTCTTTTGTCCTCTGGGGGGCACTGGTTTCATGAGAGGACCTGAAAATCACTCTAACTATTTAACTTTAACTATGTGGGACTATGATTATGACTATTTGAATGTAGATGTGTTCAGGGTGGGACTCTTGTGTAAAGTCAGGTGCGTATGTGAGCATGTACACTGAAGTTACAAGATAACAACTTCCTGCTTTGTTGCAAATCATCGATTGCCTTTAGATAGCACAATGAAAAGTTTATGTCCATCGGACTAATTCTCAAGGAGGAGTTTGTTTAGAGTGACTATGGGTAAATATTGGCATGTAGATGTGTTCAGGGTGGGACTCTTATCTTATCTGCTAGGAGTAGGTTATCACAGCATAAAAATTATTTCCTGTTGCCAGTAGGTGCCGATGACTTTGAGTGAATATTGGTATGTGGATGTTTTCTGGGCAGGACTCATTACACATTTCAAATTTGGTACAGATGGAACAACTTCCTGTTTCGTGGCAAATAATCGATTTTCGACACCACACCACGGGCACGCTTGATGGTGAAAACTCACAGATAGCACATCTTTTAACAGCCCCCTCACTCTGACATCTCTCCGTGTGTTGCTTTGGGTCCTGTTTGTGCATGTGTGTGTTTCGGACCTGTGTGTTTAATACTAACAATAATAACAGAGTGAAAACATTGAATTTCCCCTTGTGGGATTAATAAAGTATTAAGAAGAACAAGAAGAATGTATGATCATGTCAGAGAATATAGGCTCCTTTTATTTTTATCACTGATTTATTGATATTGTGAGGTAATACAACTCTAATGTGGGATGTATACAACACAATATCAATAAAAGCAGACATCACTGTTCTAAACTTTCAAGATAAATATTCAAAACTATTTTTTTTAAAACTGCCTACAAAACTGTTTATGTAGTAACAGTTTTTCCTGCGCAGTCAATCATCTTACAGTATACCTTTTGTAATGTTTATTTAGTGCAGATGTTGTGAGGGATGGAGACAACAGGAAATAGCAGAGGGAAACACTAATTGCAGAAAGCAACAAAACCTGCAAGAGAACGGGGAGGGGGGCTTGTGGTGGAGAAAAAGCAACAACAAACAATCACAAACAAACAAACAAAAAAACAAAAAAGAAGACAACCAGCCGAAGAGCAGCAATAAACAGCTGACATAGGAAGACAACTAAGAGAGAAATGAAAACAGTCCAGCACAATTATTAAGTAACACAGCACAGCCATGAGGGCTGGAACAATAACAATTAATTTAAATAAGTAACTGAAAGAAAATATATAAAAATAAATCTACCTGGGACAACCTAAATTTGTTTATGTCTATGTGTGAGACAGTATGTGTCTAAAGAATGTAGTTGGTGAGAGTGGGATGCCACAACCGTGCGGCACCGACCCCAGCAACAGGCAAGCAAGAACCCCAGTAGCCAATAGGGGTCGGAGGAATACATTTTTTTTTAAAAGATGCAATGCGAACGCAGAAGACCCCGACCCAACCAACAGGCGCCCAAAAAAACGACCATCCAAATGGCAATCGACAACGCAATGCCGATGGAACGCAAAAGGTGGAACCCGATAGCAGCGCCGACTGACCGCAAACAACCAAACTGCCAAAACGCCACGCAATCATCAGCATCAATGCCCAGCAGCCAATGAGCCGTGCAGGCCACCGTGCACCCGCCAATAAAAGTCTGCCGTACCCCCAACCGCAGGAAAAATGAAGGCCTCCCGCGCCAGCCAACATCCCCCATTCGCAGCACACCCCCAGGCTGCCGTGCAACGCCAGCCAAACCAGCAACGAGGCAAAACCAACTACCTCAGCTACATGCCACCACCAACCCACACACCCGTCAAGGGCTGAGAATTCCGGGCACAAGCCCAGAATAAATCGGAGCACAGCCCCGCACCCACACTACACATCCCGAAAACTAACTTTATACTTCAGTCTCTAGAGGAGTCTGACAACCAGCCGACAGGGAAATGGGGAAACATGGATCTGAGGCCAGATTCCAATGCACAAACTAATGCATCACAGCGAAGGGATTTTGCAGAACATAGGAGTCTTCATATGCATATTGGCTGTCAGAGGTAAGAGCGGATCGTTTTTATGTGAGGTTTTAACCCCTTCAAACACAGGCAATAGAACAGTAAAAAAACAATATAAATAAAACATACATGTAGCCCCTTTAAGATAACAAAGATAACAATGTTAAAATGTGACACATGATACTTATACTATATCTCAACAATTACTGATGCTAACAACCTTAATAGGACAGTATAAATGACAACAAATTAAGTAAAATTAACCCCACAGACCGTCTGTGGATCCGTACTGAGTTTAGATTTCTACACCTCATCATACAGAGCACACAGTGAGTAAGAGCAGTGTCAGAATGCATGTGTAGATGATGGAGATGAAGTCGGGTGCTATAACTAAACTGTAACCAGTTGTCATACAGCCTCTCATACCTGTGGGCTGTAGTAGGCTAGTTTATGTATCCGGCGGAGCACTGCACTCAGAACTGTGTTACAAACACAGGACCTTCAGTCTGCTGTACCCCAAATCAGGCAGGACAGACCTAACCCTTCACTGCAGGGGAGTCTGGACTTCATGAAACATTTTACACAGTAGTCAGAGTGAAGAGTAAGAGCAGGACAACCACATTTTAGATTTACTACTCTTTTTTGGAGGGGACATTTTCCTTAGCAGACAATAGGTGTCTCCAGCTTCGTTTGGTATAGTGGTATGTTCCAGGGATGGCTCAACTGGTGTGGGTTGTGTCCTCTGTAGTTCATCAGTCCACTATAGTAGACTGTGACTGTCAGCTGGACCGAACAGCAGAGTTTGTCAGATCAGAATAGGCCAGTTTAGAACCAGACCGGTCATTCAAACCAGAGCAGAAGTGATCAGAGGATGTCTTCACCTCAGAAAGGAGATCTGTCAGCATCTGAGAGGAAGATCTTGCAAGTTATTGCTGCTGGTGAGTAGTACTTTTGTTTTTTCTTTGTTTCTTTGTTTTTTTACTTTTTCTAGATTTGAGATTATACTTTTAGCTTTTCTTCACTCTGTTTTATATCACATTATTCTTTCATTGTGATGATATGGAATGTGTGAGAAATTTACAAAAAGGTTTCCTGGACAGGGTTATGTAATTTGGCAGTAAGTAGAGGAAAAATAGAGATTGTGTTCAATTGGTATACCTCCAGCTATTTTATTTAAATACAACCTACAGTATTTTAGTCATTGCACAGTAAGTCAGCTGAACATGCAGAAATTTGGATGTTGTCTATATGCAGCTAACAACTCAACATATATGCAGAATATTTCCAATAAATGAATAATTAATATTTGAGTTTAAATGGCTTTTCTTTCATGAACATGTTTGTTTCCCTATAATTAGTATCAGATTACATAGTTCTTGCCAGGAAACATCTTAGGAAATTACTGGGAAATTATTCAGAAAGTGCAGACTGTTATACTAAAATTAATGTTTGTTTTAATTTAGATACTTTGCCATCACAACTCCAGCCAAGGCTTGAACTAACAAAAACATCATAAATGTGTTTGTGCAATCTCTCCTCCTTGTTTCTGCTCTTTCTTGCTTGAATGTCCAAATGTCAAACCTCTCAATTTTACAATGACACATTTGTTCTGCAGGCAATTTACAGGAAGCTGCTCAGCTGCTTGCTAGCAAAGAAGTACGAGTCAACTGTTTGGATGAGGTATGAAATTAGAAGGAACATTGCTTTAATGTTAGTAGTTGTAGTATTTCATAAACAGTAATGGATTATGTTTTCAAACTATTGCCTCAAGAATGAATTTTCAGGCTCAACTAATATATTTAGGTTAAAACAGTGTATAATTTAATATACTCAAACGGATCTCCAGATTTAAAAGAACAGTCCACAGTCACTAGAGCCTATTTCTTTATTTATAAAAATATTTTTGCTTGAAAGATGCACAATTTACAGCGTAATTGCAAAATGTGAGGTTATAATGCTTATTTCTAACCCTAATAATACAAGGGTTCTCAACCTAACTGTGACCTAATATTAATAGCAATACCTAAATATTAGATTATATTGTACTTTAAATTGTTATCGACTCTAGCTTTAAGACATCATGTTTGTCACCATCAGAATTTTCAACCAGTGATACTATGTCATACTATTATACTCTGGCCATTCTTTTCATAGTGTTTGTAGTTCTCTCTCTCTCTCTCTCTCTCTCTCTCTCTCTCTCTCTCTCTCCCCTCTCTCTCTCCTTCACCCCAACCGGTGGAGGTTGCCTCTGTCGCCTAGTGCTTGCTCTTGGTGGGAATTGTTGGGCTTCTGTAAATAACATCATAGAGTACGGTCTAGACCTGCTCTTTTATGAAAAGCGCTGTGAGATAACTGTTGTTGTGATTTGGCGCTATATAAATAAAATTTAATTGAAAAAAATTAATTAATTAATTTAATGTTCTTTGTTCCCACATTTTTAATCCTGGGCTGCGATCTTCTTATGTTTTTCCAATAGATTTTTCTTTGACCTCGATGGGAAAGGTCAAAAGGTCAAGATGTGACCACTTCAGTGCTCAGAGAATCCGACTGCACTTACACTAGGCTATATAATTATGTGACAGCAAATGTTATCGATGTGGGTCTGCCATGGTGAAACTTCTTTTCCCCCTTTCTTTATAATTGAACATTATAAACATACAGACATTCAGCTGGTAGAGGTGTAATGGACATTCTTGTACAATTCACGATTCAAATGAGTGAATTTTTTGATATCGACCAAAGGAAATATAAAAATCTAAACAAATTACATAAATATAAGAAACTATCAACAAAAGTCAATATACTTTAATCAGGGCCAGAAAAAATAATTATGTTTCAAAATATATGTTACAAAATGAAAGTAATGAATACGACTTTACAGTCCCTCACTCACCACTTCCTCCACCCATAATGTCACTGTAACATATGTTATCTATTGTGATGGAGACATATGGAGACGACTCTTGAGAGTCAGACGCGGCACTCAAAGGTGTTTCATAATAGCATCACACCACTACATGTAGCTCACAGACTCCTTCAGCCTGCCTGTCTGTCAGAATCAGGTGTGGCGACAGAGCTTCACATCACTACCTTCACCCACATCACACACATGTTACAAAATAAAACTTTTAACTACATTTTGTATAGCATCCCAGAAAACATCATTTGTACTCTGAACCATAGAAAACAGAAGGATATGGGACCACGTTATTTGTGTTCTATTTTTCATGCACACTGACTCAAATTCAACTTTCACTGCTTTATTTACCAAATGGTTGAAAGTTGAAAGAGTGAATCCGTTAGTGCTGCTTTGAGTAAATCACTGGCTTACTTCTATTTATAGATTAATCAGTTCACATATAAACTAACTCCTCTTGTCATACTGTGTCTCTCCTTTGTTTCTTAAGCATGGCATGACTCCACTGATGCATGCAGCCTATAAGGGCAAGGCAGATATGTGTCGTCTGCTGCTGCAGCATGGGGCCGATGTCAACTGCAACCAGCATGAATATGGATACACTGCTCTCATGTTTGCTGGCCTGTCAGGTATAACATTGTGTGTCACTCGGTTTTGCAGCATCTAGCTGGGGCCCTGGGTCGGCCACCCCCATGCACCCACACTATCACCGCTTATGCCCTTATTATAGTTTAGAAGTCATTATTCAAGCAGTGTATTGTTCTAAATATCAAACCACTGAGAGATCCACCTCCTCCAGGGAAGACAGACATCACCTCCATGATGCTGGATGCAGGAGCAGAGACAGACCTGGTAAATTCTGTTGGTCGGACTGCTGCTCAGATGGCAGCATTTGTAGGTGAGACCCGCAGCAGAGACTGTACTTCTAGTTAACTAGTGAGTGTGCTCACATCTTAACTTGCACGTTCTCCTTCCAGGCCAGCACGACTGTGTAACAGTGATCAACAACTTCTTCCCACGGGCGAGGCTGGAGTACTACACCAGACCACAGGGGCTGGAGAGGGAGCCCAAGCTGCCCCCCAGGCTGGCAGGACCCCTGCACAAGATCATCATGACCACCAATCTCAGCCCGGTAAAGGTGAGGCCTAAAGGGCTGAAAACATGCTCACTTACTCACAGGTCCACTAGAATACTGGATGATTTCAGAAGTACATTTCAAATGTTCTTTTGGTTATCTTGTTACTATGGTTGTAAACCTTCTCAGTAAGAAACACGATGTTGCTGGAAATATTTAAAGCACTAGGGATTGGCTTGGGAAGTTTTAAAAATAAGATTTTGTTCACCCAAAAATGAAAGAAACAAGTTACAAAATACGCAAGAGTTCTGGGCCCATAAAAGAGGTCAACTAAACAGAAGGAAACCCAGGCTATGATAATTTAACAGAAGCTGAACACAAAAGGGGAACATAATGTCTGATAAATCTATTTTAGAAACAAAAGGGGTAACACAAAGACATTACCAAAAACAAAATCTCTCAACTGAACTGACAAAAATACTAAATAAACTATGATCTATAACTATCATCATTTATCTGTTTAAGTCAGAAGGTCATGGGTCATTAAACATGGGGCAAACATGAATATGCTCAGCACATCTCCTGCCAGTCTGCCCATTAGATGTTGATATTTCTGGTGTACAAGTGACAAATGTCCCTGATTGTGATGCTAGCAGATAAGTTATGGGACCGCAGTGGTAGTGTCCATTATTTTCTTAATTTCAGGTTGCTACATTTGTTTTGTCCTCCCGGCAGCGAGTCGATGTTTAGCCCTAAGCTTCAAATTTCAGCGACCAAGCTGGGCTGTGTGGCTATGCTTGGCCCAGCATGGTTAGTGGCCCGCTGTAGAGCTTGTACTCACTTTGAAGTCAGGCTGCTCGCACCATAGCAGCCTTACCTTGTATTTTTAATCAGCAATATTGATAAGATGCATATTTATATGCATCATGTGAACACATGTAATTATAATCAAACTTACCTTTCAGTGTGTCATCAGTGTCAAAAGCCTGTCACTAATGTTTCTGGACATCAATCACTAAGCTCTGGAGTGAGATGGGATCCTCCTTCATTGAATGCTGTTAATCCTGAAGTGGCTTCAGAAAGCCCTAATGCAGGTGGTCATCTAGAATGGATGGAGTAAAATTACCATCAACATGTAATTCATGTTATACAATCACATGAAAACCTATGTCTAAATTTAATTTTAACCATATCAATCATTTGTGTTACTTCACTTGAACTTACTGTATGTCCTGGCGCGTTCATCTTGGTGCTTACACGGTGCACCTGAGCTTACAGGACAGGAGAACTTGTCCAAGTCCATGTCCAGAATGTAGACTTGGTCAGGTGTAGAGGTACTCTGGACAAAATGGGATCACAAAAGTCAAAACATATGGACCCCACACCAAAGTTTTGAATCACCTGTTATATTGATAATTTTGTTCTATTGTCACAGAGATGCAAACACTCAGTCACACAATGGCCCTAATTTATGAAAAGTGCATACACCAAATTGCCAGCATACACCTGACGAACACCCAAAACCACGGTGACTTTGAGATTTATCAAAATGGACGTTGGCGTATGGCACGCTCAAATCCTACGCCAGCTCAGGAGGTGGTGTACATGTACGCAAGTTTTGAGTTAGTGCGGAAATGCACAGAAAAACAATTCCTAACACCACAAAATGCACTGACAAATACAATATATTATGACCCACTGTAACAGAAACAACGTTTGAAACATTAATTTTGCTGTTTGTATTTAGCAACACAGACTTTATACAGCCTACATAATATTTGAGCAGTCAAAACATGCTTTGATTTGTATTTGGACCATTTTATCGTAGCTTTAGGTGCCTTTTATTTGGGTTTGCTTTTAATAAAATGTGTACCTTCAAATGAAATGGCTATGACCAAAAAATGTTGTAAGGTAAATAAATACTGCAAACAACGAAGAGCATAAGCGGATGGCTTTACGCACTGAGACTGGCTGCCGAAATGGACACAGCCCCACGCCCTTTAGGTGAGGCTGGCACAGACATGTCGCGCACAAAGCCCTGCATTTATTATAAGACAAACTTTGTATTATGACAGCAACAGCGAGCACCGACACCCCCGCTAAAGTCCCCGGACTCCGCTGATCCCGGTGAGTCCTGGGTCAGTGCGTAAAGCCCAGTCCCGGAGGTGTTGGAGCAGCTTTTTATCAGAGCGACATACTTTCATTTGGAGCTTATTTGGGACTTAACTTTGATGGGCGTTTTAGCAGTGCTAAATCTATCTCTTGGAGCACCACAAGTAGCCAATTTATAATTCTAGGAACAGACAAAAACTTCTAGTTTGCTCGGAACCGCTCCACAAACAGGTGGTACAGACGTGGTGCAGCTCATCATTGTGTTTGGACAATGTTTCACTCTGAACATAAAAGAAAGGTTACAGTGAGCACTCACCGCGGATGGTCAGATCCAAGTCCGTGCGCATCCAGACCCGTGTCTGTGCGTAATAGTCCCAGGACAGCGCAGAGCACTGTTTCCCAAAGCCACAAAACATTATGAAGGCTTGCTTTGCATGCTGGGGGTACACCCCCCGTATCTGTCCGTATGTCCTCCGCTCAGCGAGAGGCTCTTGGCCCATGCCCTGCTCCTCCGGGATGAGCGCATCCTCCTCTGGGGCTGACAGCGCGCGGTGGTCCCCCTGACTCCAGCGCTGGCTCTCGGGCTGGACCTAAACTATTTATGGCTCATCTGACTGCTCGTGTCCAGTTTTAAGCGCGTTGAATATTTTGTCAAAAATGTGTCCAGTTTAATTGTTTCCAAAAGAAAAACCTTGTAATATTAAAATGCACAATATTTATGAACATTTATGCTCTAGTAGTGAAACTAAACATTTAATCTTTATTTAAATCTGTCAAAACAACATAATATTTTGTTTCTTAAGTTTTAATTTGTGGATTTCCTGCTCCAAACCATGTATTTCTTGCCGTATTCTGTCAGTCCCTGCCGTGATGTAGTGGGTGCGGCCTCCTGAAGCTTGAATAATTGGGGACATTCAAATTACGCACGTTTTCAGCCGCCACATTTACCAACACCAGGTGGTGCGTACACCTGAAATGCCAGGGTACACTCTCATTGATAAATCAGGCACTGAGAACAGTGTAAACATAATCTCACGCACAAAAATAGGCCGTTTCTACGGAAGATTGATAAATGAGGGCCAATGTCTTTTGACTGGATGAACTTAAGGAAATTTGGAGAAAAATGGTTACAACAGTACTGCCTGCAGATATCAACATAAAGGGTGATTCAAAATGTTTGAATGGCAGTGCATATTAAATAAACTTGCTTCACAAATCAAGAATACAGTTGATGTCAGATGTAGCATGCTGTTCCTTTTAAAATTGAATGTGAAGTCCCCTTCAGTAACAGTTTATACAGAGTTTATACACTTTCCTAGTGCCTGTTTGATAATAATGTGTGCTTACCTGTCAAATGTTTTTTGACTTCACATTGCTGTCAGCAGTTGGACTTCTGAAACCCATCCCACTGGCCAGTCGTAGCTGGCATTCAGATGGGTGGTCAGAAAGTCAAAGAGCTGAGAAACGTTGAATGCCCTGTTCCTATGCAGAAATCTTTCTTTCAGAATACTCATTGCTGATGTTATGTAGCTGTTAGTATGATTTCTTCTGACAGGCAATGTTGCTCTGTAGCACACAGATAATCTATGACCATAAAAGTATGACTGGAAGTTGTGTGTTATTCATTCCAAAGCTTACAATTGCTATACATGTCAGAGGTCGCATGCCTCTGGAGCAACCAGGGGTTAAGTGTCTTGCTCAGGGACACATGGGTGGATGTGTCAAAGTGGGGGAGATGAACCTGGGGTTTCCCACACCAAAGGAATGCATCTTATCCACTGCTCCATCACCACCCTTTAACAAAACACACAGAAGAAAAACCAACATACTTTGTGCTGTGTTTCATTAACATCAATTTCACTGTCTATACACGGCTAACGTATAATGGTAATGCCAACTCACACATCTCTAAATAACTAATCTGCTCACATCAATACTTTGCAGAGCCATGTGAAACCAGCCCTGGGTCTTACTCTCCTCCCTAGCATACAGTGCCTTGCGAAAGTATTCGGCCCCCTTGAACTTTGACCTTTTGCCACATTGCAGGCTTCAAACATAAAGATATAAAACTGTAATTTTTTGTGAAGAACCAACAACAAGTGGGACACAATTATGAAGTGGAACGAAATTTATTGGATATTTCAAACTTTTTTAACAAATAAAAAACTGAAAAATTGGGCATGCAAAATTATTCAGCCCCCTTAAGTTAATACTTTGTAGCGCCACCTTTTGCTGCGATTACAGCTGTAAGTCGCTTGGGATACGTCTCTATCAGTTTTGCACATCGAGAGACTGAAATTTTTGCCCATTCCTCCTTGCAAAACAGCTCGAGCTCAGAGAGGTTGGATGGAGAGCGTTTGTGAACAGCAGTTTTCAGTTCTTTCCACAGATTCTCGATTGGATTCAGGTCTGGACTTTGACTTGGCCATTCTAACACCTGGAGATGTTTATTTGTGAACCATTCCAGTGTAGATTTTGCTTTATGTTTTGGATCATTGTCTTGTTGGAAGACAAATCTCCGTCCCAGTCTCAGGTCTTTTGCAGACTCCATCAGGTTTTCTTCCAGAATGGTCCTGTATTTGGCTCCATCCATCTTCCCATCAATTTTAACCATCTTCCCTGTCCCTGCTGAAGAAAAGCAGGCCCAAACCATGATGCTGCCACCACCATGTTTGACAGTGGGGATGGTGTGTTCAGGGTGATGAGCTGTGTTGCTTTTACGCCAAACAGAACGTTTAGCATTGTTGCCAAAAAGTTCGATTTTGGTTTCATCTGACCAGAGCACCTTCTTCCACATGTTTGGTGTGTCTCCCAGGTGGCTTGTGGCAAACTTTAAACAAGACTTTTTATGGATATCTTTAAGAAATGGCTTTCTTCTTGCCACTCTTCCATAAAGGCCAGATTTGTGCAGTATACGACTGATTGTTGTCCTATGGACAGAGTCTCCCACCTCAGCTGTAGATCTCTGCAGTTCATCCAGAGTGATCATGGGCCTCTTGGCTGCATCTCTGATCAGTCTTCTCCTTGTATGAGTTGAAAGTTTAGAGGGACGGCCGGGTCTTCGTAGATTTGCAGTGGTCTGATACTCCTTCCATTTCAATATTATCGCTTGCACAGTGCTCCTTGGGATGTTTAAAGCTTGGGAAATCTTTTTGCATCCAAATCCGGCTTTAAACTTCTCCACAACAGTATCTCGGACCTGCCTGGTGTGTTCCTTGTTCTTCATGATGCTCTCTGCGCTTTAAACGGACCTCTGAGACTATCACAGAGCAGGTGCATTTATACGGAGACTTGTTTTCACACAGGTGGATTCTATTTATCATCATTAGTCATTTAGGTCAACATTGGATCATTCAGAGATCCTCACTGAACTTCTGGAGAGAGTTTGCTGCACTGAAAGTAAAGGGGCTGAATAATTTTGCACGCCCAATTTTTCAGTTTTTTATTTGTTAAAGTTTGAAATATCCAATAAATTTCGTTCTACTTCATGATTGTGCCCCACTTGTTATTGATTCTTCACAAAAAATTACAGTTTTATATCTTTATGTTTGAGGCCTGAAATGTGGCAAAAGGTCGAAAAGTTCAAGGGGGCCGAATACTTTCGCAAGGCACTGTACAAGCTTTTCTTCACCACCGCAAACCTGCCTTTCTGTCATATGGATGTTGTGGTCCTTATTCCATTGTCACCTCCAAACAGCTTGCAGCAGACAAAAACTGCAAAGCAGTTGTGTGTGGCTTGTGGAATGGCCACACCACTCTATCCTGATTGACAGTTCATTTTGGGTAGCGTCTTGTTAATCACAAGGTTGCCACGCCCTAAAGCATATCCTGATTTATCATCTGTTGTCCTCTAAATGGGATCATAATTTACTAAATAAACATCATGTTTAGGAGTTGGAGCAGTAACTCTGCGTTCATGGTTGTGTTGGTGTGAAAACCTCCACACCTTCACCTTCATATTCACTTTCAATATCAGTGTCCTGAGGTAGTAGCTTTGATGCATATGCTTGTGGGAAATGTGTTAAGTGGTCCGTTACCACTGAAATGTATTCATACTTATCAAGAGCATAGACATGTCCCTGCCAATATCCTGGGACTGAATTGTCCCTAGCAATAATTATGTAAATGTAAATATAACCACTGTCAGTGTTTTTGGTACAGGAACAGTTAACAACAGTTGTTCTCTGCTATGAGTCCAATGTGTTTCAAAGTTATATAATCTTATCCACAAAGTGTCCAGGGTGCTACAATAACAGCATGTACATAAACTATGGCTAACACAATATGAGATAGAATAAATGGATGTGTTCTCTCCTCTCATCCCAATCAATGACAATATTTCTGCCCTCCAAACAGCTCTGCCAAGAAGTGTTTGTCTAACCAACTCTCCAATCTGTCAGATAGTCATGCTGGTGAAGGAGAACCCTGTGCTGGTGGATGTGACGGCTCTGGAGAAGTGTTACCAGGTGATGGACCTGCTGTGTGAGCAGTGTGTGAAGCAACAAGACATGAACGAGGTCCTGGCCATGAAGATGCACTACATCAGCTGTGTACTGCAGAAATGCCTGGCCTTCCTACAGAAACAAGATGACAAGCTGGAAGCACTTGTCAAGAGGTGAGGCTTCTATGTGGAATGAGTCTGCCCCCTGAATATATAACCAGCAGCACTCTCAGCACTCATTCTACAGTTAGTTTCACTGTTTAGAGTTGATGGGTAGATCAGCATCAAGTTGCTGTCATTATAGTGGTTAGATGTGGATTGTTATGAAAGGCCCAGTCCTGGATCATATAAGTACAGTATAATAACATGAGCAATTTGTGTGTCACCCAAATTACGTTATTGAAAAAAGGCATACTTTCCTGCTGTGTTTAAACGTCACTGTCTGTTAAAAACAATTTTCAGTCATTTAAGTCTGAGAAAAAACCCTGACGATGTAGTTAGGATTGTGCATTTACCAGGCAGGTAACAGATGCCATCAAGCATTATGGGAAATGTAGGATCCAGTGTTCTTGGAGCTTCAATCATGTTCTGCCTCTTGTGAGTCCCCCCACTTTATAGTGTTGCCTGGAACCTCTTTAACAGCATCAGAAAACATTAATAACTTTGATTAAGTCAGTTTGACGAGAGTTTCCAGTGTGCCAGTGATTTCATCATGATGACCTTGTATTGTAATTTCATCCCCCTCCTCCTACAAACCAGTCTTTATTTTTTTGACTTGAATTTCCCTTAACATTAAGCCATGACACTTTCATGATTGCACTCCCTTGACTCATATGCAAAAATAGTTGTTTTCTAGCTTTTTTGCTGTATTGACTGTGTGGCGTCCAAAATTGATGAAGTTGTTAGAACTTCAGTATACATGCTCACATCTGCACCAAATTTGGAATACATTATAAGAGTCCCGCCTTGAACACATCCATGTGCCAATATTCACTCAAAGTCATAGCGCCACCTGCTGGCCACAGGAAATGAAACATTTTACTATGATGGACTACTCCTAGCAGGTTGGCCATATCAACCCATCAGAAAACCCTTAACACATTGACGATGCCATGTTGTGAGTTTTTGGTATTTTTGGTTTTTGGCGTGGCGGTGGTGTGATGGCGAAGTTACCGGCTACGCCATGACACAGGAAGTTGTTGTAACTTGACTATACAAACTCAGATCTGCACGAAATTTTACACGTTTAATAAGTGTCCCGCCCTGAACACATGTACATGCTAACATTCACCCACAGTCATAGCGCCACCTGCTGGCAACAGGAAATGACCTTTAACGAAGCAGCCCCCTTGGCACGTTTCACCTACATGTATGAAATTTCTGTGGCACAGTACCATGTCCAGACGTACCAAAAAGACTCTTGGAGTGATGTTCTAAACCCAACAGGAAGTCGGTCATTTTGAATTTTATGGTAATTTTTGGATGATTTACACACTCTGTAGTTTAACGAACTCCTCTTTGTGTTGTGCAGCCTAAACCCATTGACAATTAAAAGTTGTGCAAACGGTGAGTTTTTGTGGAACAGCGTGCCTGTGGCGTGGCACCCAAAATCTATGATTCGTCATGAAAGAGGAAGTTGTTGTAATTTCAGTCTACATGCTCACATCTGCACCAAACTTTACGTGCTTGATAACAGTCACACCCCGAACACATCTACATGCCAATATTCAGTTATACTCATAGCACCAAGTGCTATGTAGCACCACAAAGAGGACACAGGATGTAATGATTAACAGCAGCGCTAAACGCTGCTTGCAGCTTTAATTAGGGGTCCAAGCCCGGAGTGAGCTGGGAACCCACGGATGCAAGGCGTCGCGGTTCCCAGTATAAGTGAAGCGGCTGGGAACCCTATTGTAATCATTCTCGTTTTTATTATTCTTCTTCTGTGAAGTAAAACCGATACTGTGGCCTAGACGGTAAGTGCTACAGAGGCGAAACTCATGGGGTAGGTCCAGGTCACGGCAGCAACCGCAGGCGCAAAGATTCTCACACTTCTACATCTAGGGGGCACTATAAGCAAGGTCAACGCGTTTGGGATTGGAACTCCCTCCTACGAAGAAACCTATTTTAATTAAGTCCTCCAAAGCCACAAGTCTGGAGTCGATTGGCATCAAACTTGGCACAGACCATCTCTGGACAAAGCTGATACAGGCTTATGCTCCCCAGATCGATACCCGAAAAACTGTTCCAATTATAAGCCAACCATTGTTTACACAAAACGCTAGTAACAGGACATGATGTCATATCTTCGGTTTGGAATGGCCGATCAACACCAAACTTGGAGCACTTATGTGGGAAACCCCCCTGAGGGCCTGTGCAAAATTTGGTTCAACTTTCCCCTAGGTGGCACTGTTTAAACCGAAAAATTAGTTCCTCTATAACTATTGACATGAAAGTTGAGCCGAATTGTTCAGCATTGTCCCTTAACTCCAAGGACCAAAGTTGTCCATAATTTGCCCATAGGTGGCGCTGTTATTGCAGATTAAAGTTGTCAGAAAAAATCCCATTGCTTACATGCATTTTATATCTCCATAACCACAAGTCTGATTGATACCCAATTTGGTTCTCCAAATTATGATTTTCTTGCTTCTAATAAACCAAACGACTACTACTACTAACATTACTTGTTGTTGTTTGTCTTCGTCTTCTTATTTGTACGTATTCAACGTAGTGACTGAAGAGCAGTTTGTCCGTTTGGGCTACTGTAGAAATATGGCGGAGTAACATGGCGACGTCCATGGAAATGGACCAGCGGTGTATGTAGATAGAAATGGCACATTCTGAGGTAATAAAATCATATAAGTTCATTATGTAAGGTCTTTATACACCATTTAAAACATAGTTATTTATATTATATTGCATTTCTATCATAAGATCCTCCTAAATACTACACACTGAACCTTTAAATAGCAATAATAGTTTTCTTAAAGGGGCTATTTGTAGTTTTTTAATGAAATTTATCACTTTTTTATTGCCTATTTGTGAAGTTGTTGTAATCTCACAGAAAAATTAACCATTTGTCTGCTTTTGTGGTTGCGGTTGCGGAAAACAGCCACTATGCTGCGTCTTATGTGAAGAAATGGGGGCTGATTTTCTGCAAAATCCATTGGTTTATGTAGACTGTGATGTTCATGTGTGCTCCCAAGCCTCTAGCCTACTGATCCTGAACTGTACACACAGCGACAACACCGCAGTAAATGAAATGGAGTCCGCTAACATCAAAAACATCTGGTTCCCAGCACAACACTAACTCCATGTTAGGAAAAAAAAAATGTATGTTGAAGCCCGTCAGGCCAAACAAGAATCAGAAAGGCATTTGACTCATGAAGAGACCTCTGCTTTAATGTGGATATAAAAACTGGCAAATTACTGCAAAGCATGTGAAATATATTGTGATTTTGTGCTTTAGCTGGCTCAAGTTAGATAACTTTACATAACGCAATTCACATTACTATCCTGTGTACCACCAGTATTATGTCAAAGTGTTTACAAAGTAAATGTGGAACGATTTGTTTCTAAAGCCAATAGTGATGCAGGCAGGGGCATCCAGCTACATTAGCATAGATCTGTCATTGTTTGCTTCCTAAGGTTCAATTTAGATTTATTGTCATTTTACCGATACCCAGCTTCTTCACCTTCTCAGTCGCCGTAACTTAAGTGACCCGCATCACATACAATAATGCACGGTGCAGGACAATGACGCAGTGGAAGACCCATACACTACATTACCATTACTCATCAATATCAATATTCAGTCTAGCTCCCTAACCGTTTTCGTTATTATCCAATAAATTTAGCTGTGCTGACATTGCTGATCCTCTGATGAAAGATACATATAGTTATTAAAAAGCTGGCAGACAAGCTAATGCAGACATATCATGTCGGCTAAATGCAGTCAATAGCCGCATTTCCACCAAAGGAACTATACCCCAGAACTATACCCCAGAACTCACTGCATTTCCACCGCGGGAACCACAGTCTAAATTTAGTTCTAGTGTCTTTATTTTACCTCACAAAAAGTCCCTGCTCGGGGGGGTAGTACTTTCCGAAAGTACCGGTACTTTGGGGGGATGGGGCTTACTTTGCAGTGAATTTCAGAATGGGCGAGTAGAGGCTCCTGGCTTTAAATTGAGTATGTAGGTTGTTTTTCTATGACTGCTCCTCTCTTTTCCACCGTTGTTTGCAAACCAATAAATTACAATCAACAGTCAAAGAGCCACTCAAGTCTCCCTGATGTCCGCCTGAGATCGCACGTCGGTATTAGATTTATAGCTCAGAAACAGCAGCCATCGTGCAGCAGTGTGTTTACAGCTAACAGCTCATGGAGTTACGCTAAATACTGGGTCCAAAGTTGTTGTTTTAAGTTTTCATCAGTCAGGAGGTTTCTACAAGGAGTCGAAGTTGGTCTCCTCCTCTCCAAAACAAATGGAACAGCTGATTACAGCAGTTAATAAAGCTTGTTAAAAATCCCATTCCTCCGACGCTCAGGCGGACACAGACGTGATGCTGCAGCTGATCTGCAGCTGTTGTCGGCTGGAAATGTTTTAATAACCTTCCAAACTATCGCAATTTTATTTTTGTTAATTTAAGAACTTGATGGCTTTATCCAGTTTACGAACGAACTTTATTGTGTGTCTCTTCATTATACTCCCACACAAAAAAAGCTGTTTTTAATAGTCAAGCATAGCCTATAGTTTTTCATTATATTCCATTAAAATCTGATGTTCATTTATATATTTTGCTCATGGATCATGGTTACTAAATAATTAAGCCTGTCCATCGTTTTGTGCGTAGTATAGTCAGCTGGTTAATTTTCCTAATCTTCGCAGGTCTTTAGACTGCAGTGCAAATGCACACAACAATGGGCTGAAGGAACCTTTTGGTTGGTTTAGATGGTAGATATGGGGAACAGTATTACAGTTTGTATCCTGGAGAAGCCTTTCCTTGCATATGTGGACTACCCAAAATACACAAAGAAGGAGCCCCACCCAGGCCTGGAACAAAAGCTAGGAGTCATCAGAACCCTGCACCACAGAGCAGACCACATACCAACAAGTGCAGAAGCCAGAGAGAAGGAACAGAACCACCTGAAGGGGGCACTTACAACCTGTGGATACTCTAAATGGACCTTTGTGAAAACAGCCACAAATCCAGGAAGAAGACCAACACTACAGGGGAGGAGGAGAAGAAGGTCAAACGCAACAACATTGTGATTCCATACGTGTCTGGAGTATCAGAGAAACTCAGGAGGATTTTCAACAAACACAACATCCCTGTGTTTTTTAAACCCAAGAACACACTAAGACAGATACTGGTACACCCTTGAGGTCTCAAGGAAGCCATCTACACCCGGGTCGAGAAGCCGTCATTGAACAGAGGAGGGGGTCTACGCCACCACTTATCCCCCACTTACAATGCTGTCCTTTCATCACTTCCCAGGAAACTAAACAAGCATTTCCTCTTGGCCTCAGGTGAGGATGCCAACGATGGTCGTTCAGACTTGGCCACGGGTGGCTCTAACGACCATGACAACTGTTGTTACCACAGCCAAGAGCACTAACGAACCAGCGGTATTAACAATTCTAGCTAGCGATCCCACAGAGATAAATAGCTGAGTTTCCCTACCAGTCAGTCAGAACTGAAGAAGTCTCTTGGATGAGGGACAAAACGTCTTCTAGTATCTACAACCAAGTCCAGTTGCCCTTGACCTCAACCTTCGTTGGATAATTATGACCTCGATGACTGAGAACCTTCACAGACCCCTTTAAGGAAATAAACAAACCAAAATTAATGGTTTAATGTAAAAGTCTTTTCTGTCCAGCAGAGAGATATGTGTTGCCAGATCTTGTGAAAATATATTGCTGAGACAGAGACAGGTCTTGAATAAAGTTAATCTTCTTCTGATTTGTCTGTCTGATAAATGCCATTTGAGTGTCAGAATGTTCAAAAGATATGTGGCTTGTGAAAAATGCGTCCAATATTTACTTTGGTGACTACAGAGAATAATCTGTGTTCATACTGACTCTCCCATTGGAGTGAATGGAATCAGGACTTGCCACTGCCATAACCAGCAGACTGTTCACACTGAAGGATACTCGAGCAGTATGTAATCGCTGCATCACAGGGCTGCAGCCACTGCTGACTGTAATGTAAGCAGGCCAAATCCACTTGCTAAAGTATAATAACTAACTTCCCATTGTCTTTAGAACACCTGCATGCACATGGCACTTTCACTTAATGCAATATCACTTTCACTTCAGGCCACATATTTTTGCCTCATGTCTCTCTTTCCATCCCCCCCTTCAACTCTCCTGTTTCCTCAGGGGGAGGCACATCACAGATAAAAAACAAACAAAAACTCTGATCCAGAGTAATGGGGAAAAAGCAGGAAAATGGACAGGGATCCACTGTGCAGCATGAATCTGCTTTGTAATTTGATGGTTTGATGGCTCATAAGATTGTGAGACATGACATTTTGACATATGAATGGAAGCTTAATAAAGCAGAGCCACCACGATCAGTCATGTTCCTCTTTTGGGACCCAAAATATCTACAACAAAAATAATTTAAATCCAGCCTAGTCATGCTACAGGAAATATATTGGAATCATAGTCACCTTTTTTTCTGTTTCTTTGACCTGTTTTAATGCTGCTGGGTCCCAGCCTGTTGAGGGGGAGAGACAGTGATGGCTTCCCACAGTACCAGGAGAAGTTCATTCGGGAATGCATCAGGAAGTTTCCGTACTGTGAGGCCACACTCCTTCAGCAGCTGGTGAGGAGCATTGCACCGGTAGAGATTGTAAGTGAAGAGGATATCAGAGAATCAACAGAGAAAGTGTAATATATACATAAAATATATTTTTTAGCATTAAAAAGTTCAGTGTGTAATATTTAGGAGGATCTATTGACAGAAAAGCATATATATACATAACTATGATTTCAGTGGTGTATAAAGACCTTACATAATGATATGTTTTTAATATCTTAGAATGAGCCATTTCTATCTACATACACCGTCCTCTTCCATGGATGGTTTGCTACCATGTTTCTACAATAGCCCTAAAGGACAAACTGCTCTACAGAGCACATTTCATCACTATGTTGAATACGCACGAAGAAGTAGTAGTAGTCGTCTAGTTTATTAGATGTAAGAAGAGAGGTGAAATTTGGACAAATGGAGGACCACACGTATTTTTTAGCACAATGGCCGACACTTCTCCCACGTGCTTTGAAAGGGAAGGGTGAGCGGTGAGTGAGCTGGTTGCAATTCGAACACCCTCACCACCAGATGCCACTTAAACCTACACACTGAACCTTTAAGCCCTTTGTTTTTTAAAGTAACAATGAGGAGGAAAAGTGATGGTTGTCAGTAGTAGCTGATGATAGAGGGTTACTAAGTAATTAATTAATCATTGATTTTTAATCATTGTTGTTGATAACCTAATACATCATTGCATCTTGTTTTCAGGGCAACAGCCCAACGGCATTCTCAGTGTTGACCCAGGCCCTGACAGGTCAGATGGCTTTTGTAGATGCTGACTACTGTACTACATGTGGGGAGAAGGGAGCAGACAAGAGGTGCTCCCTTTGCAAAGCAGTAAGCCAAAGTCTGTTAACAGCCACCATCTATAATGCAGTTCAATCATGTCATCAAAATCTCCATGTTAAACTACCTCCAGGTCATGTTCTCTTTTATTTGTCTCTAAGTTGACTTACTGCAGCTTGACGTGCCAAAAGCTCCACTGGTTCACCCATAAAAAGATGTGCAGGTCTCTGCAGGAGCAGGATGCCGACCTGGAGAAAGACACTCCAAGGTTGAAAGAACTGAAAGGTGCTCACCTTTTACCTGTTCTACAGTTATGTACCATACACCCATGATTCACATAGTTTGTTCTGGAGACATATTGTTCATGGCTGCCTGTGGGTTACCCCCTTCCTTCCACGCGTATGATTGTCTATTGCCTACATGACATGAGGCCGGCGACTAGCATGCAGAGCCATGTTCAGCAATGGTTGGTCAGGACTGACAGACAAATGAACATTCAGCTTTATTTATAGACAGTGTAGGGAAGGTTACTTTTGAAATGTAATAAGTTACCAATTACAATCAAGTTATCCCATTTAAAATGTAATAGTGGTGTAACTCTTTTAATTACTTTTTCAAAGTGAAGTGCAGTTCGGCAGCACGACAGCTTAAGCCAGTCCTCTGTGTCAGGCTTCTTAATTCCTTTATTTGTCGTTTCTCACTCATTTTTCACTCCTCGCTTGAACCGGAAGTTGTTCCGCTCCGCCATCTTGCAGACTGTCACAAAGCTCTTATTTGTGCTCTGAGGAGCGAGGGTCAACGAGCGTTCTCTGAGGAGCTATGAGTGAGGATGCATGAGTGCCTTCACAGAAGTCTTTTACTGACCGACACGCCCCCTTATTGGATGACTGTTATTGATTGGATGCTGCATCTGATCTGATACATCACGACACTGCAGTATGATATCTGAGTTAAGACAGATAACAGAAAAGCACAAAAAACACAAAAGTGTATCACCTCCAAGTTTTATATGTGATTTGTTTTATGATTCACCGTCTAGTTAAAATCTGTGTTCATTGTAGGTACCAGATTTGCCTGATCTGTTACTTCTCCCATTAACTTTATTATGTAGACAATCAAAGTCAGAGAGAGTGTAAACCTAAAACTGAGCTGCAGTCGGCTTTGAATGAGTTACATCATTTCACATCGTTTCCCCTTGCACATTTCATATTCTGGGTTATTCAATAGGCCTAATTAATACACAATCATAATAAACAGATGCAGATAATGAAAAAATAATATAAATGCATTCTGCTAGTAGAAATGATCCTGTTCCTCTGAGCAGGACACAGTTTAAAGTATAACAACATGTTCTGATCTCAGGGCATCAAATAGGCTGACTACACTTTGAGAAAGCCTGACAAAGGGTTGGTAGCCTATTTGATGCCCTGTGATGAGAACGGGCTATAATCACAGAATGCAGGTTGTTCTTCATGTTCAGGTGTTTGTTAAACAGGTAACAGCTACAGACAGAAATCATGCTGCTCTGCAGTGATAACTGTGAGACGTCGCTTAACGTGACACGTGAGGAAAGGGCATCTCATTTTATTTTAAAACATATTTCCTCGTTCCTTCTCTCCCTGCATGGTTTCCTAGCATCTCTCCATGCATCACAGGTGGGGGGGTCTAAGAAAAGACCCAAGTGAAGGAAACTTGAATGCAATAGAGATAGACCCCATTAGTGTGTCTGCCTCTGCTCTCTGTTAGGTGATGAAAGCGACCTGGTGATGGAGACGGCCAACTTCCTACAGGAGCTGTGTCTGCGGGCAGAGGAGAAGGTGGCTGCTGCAGGAAGCTGCCCTGCAGAACTGCTGGCCTGTCCTTCCGCCTCTGCTGAAGCACCGTCCTGCTCCCAAGACTGAGACAGGGCATCCTGAACAATGCCGAGTCATCTCTTGTTGCATATAACAAGCATTGAACAAAATTCATGTCATCAGGGTACATCCTGTATATTTGACGCCAAGCCAAGTTTTAGATAATCAAGTAGGTATTAAGACTTTCCAAATTAAAGTTGGTGCTAGCAAACAGCCTGGTTAATCTGATTGGGAATTAGAGAGGCATAAAGTGATAATTGCAGCTTTTTCTAGACGGAACAATCTCTCACTACTGTTAAGGAGACCGTCTAAACGGGACTCCACAAAAATCCAAAACATTTATGGTATGGGATCTCAAATGTTTCTCAAAACATTATGTATGAATTTGCATGTAGACCTATTTGGTCATAGATTGAGACAAGTGGTTAATATGACTCAAGTTTTTGTGCATATATACAGGAGAAAAAGACTCCATATTTGGCACAACTGGGTGCTGGAGAGTTGGCTGTGTGGTACTATGACATAGGGAAGTTGTCTGAACTGGCGCTTCATTTCTAGCCGACCATGAACTGTTGCATGTCATTCCTTCTCTCCCCCCTAATTTTCTTCACTGTCACTGTTACCTAATAAAGGTGTGAAAGGCCAATAAATCATGCAAAAAAGCAGCAAGAATGTTGTTCATATATACTGTCCTATTGCCACAAATATTGATATTGGATGATTCTAGAAAACACCAGATTATGTTCAACTACAATATTTTTAATCTCCAAAATTTTCAATGATATCTGCAAGTCAACTAAGGTATGGTTAAGGTTAGGGAATGATTGTGATTGTGGCACATGTTACTATATGTAACTCCAGAGAACGTACTGCACGGTGGTCACCAGAGGGTCTCCTGCTCAGCCTCGCTGGTTTCCGTCACATATAGTTAAAGTGTGGTTAAGGTTAAGCAACAAAAACATTTGATTAAGGTTTCAGAAGGACTGCAGTTACTGTTACAGGACTAAAAAGGAAAAGGTTAATTGTAATTCTGATGGGACTCAAACTCCAGTCTTTTGCATAAAAATCAATAGTGCTGCATGCCCATCCACCATTCCGTTCGTGCCTCACTAAAGAAAGGGCACAGTACCTGGATTAGTGATGAACGTTGGCACTGAACATTATTTGTTTTCTGCAGAAACATACAATATGCACAAAATTGTGTGCATATTGGATTGTGAACTGCAGCGTACATACACTACATTGCTAGACACTATATCCCTGCATATATCATGAAGAAGGAAGAGACCTTTCTGTAGAGTAGTTGGAACACCAAGATGTGTATTGTTTAGATGCTGGTTTAGCCAGCCACATCAAAGAAAAGACATGTCAGTTCTGTATGTAGGATCAGACAGCTTAGGGCAAATGCAGTTATGAACTACAAACCGAGAGTGATTAGGACAGTTTCCTGAGGTTTCCTGAACTAAACTGTAAAAAAAAAAACAGTTTGTCATAGATGCAGTATTTCATAATATGAACTTAACTGTGTTCTTTGTGTGGTCCTGGAAACCTGTGTTCTATGAAATGAAGCACATTTGATCTTTTTTCAAATCTATGTCTTTTGTTATATTGTGAAACTATCTATGTCTATCACTCTCACAAAATTATGAATTTAAAGAATGTGACATTACTCCTGTTGTGGTGACTGCTCACTGGGCCCATCATTTGCCTTATCTTTTAAAATTAATAAAGTTTGCCTTCATCAGATGGGCTGGGTGAAGTTATTTTACAGCTATGTTGACATGCATACCCGTAGACATCCAAAATACAGACACCAAGTTTAAGACTGCAGTTGGTGATTTGTATCAATAAAAAATAACAAAATAAAAGAGCAGTCTTAATTATATTAATTAGTAGTCTTAAGCCCTGCTAGTGGCTAGTACACCATTCCCCCTATATGACGATGTAGGACAGAACCTGTGAATGTGATCCTTTAATGATACTTTATTTCATATGTAGTTAAATAAAGTCTTTGTTGCTCACTTTATGAATATAATAATAACTCACTATATAATCATTAAACAAATTCCTTCAAAAAACAATGACAATGACAGTGAGCAAGCTAAAGGACATATTCTTGACAGTAGTTGGTTCTGACCAAAACAGAGGTAAAAGAAGCGTTAATATTGGACTTACTTTCATCAGGTGGACACAAACATGACTTGCTAACGTCACTGCGGGCTGTGTAAAAAGGCAACAGTCTGCTACCTGTTTGCAATTACAATATATTGTAAAACTATATCAGGGCTACGGGTCTGCCAAAAAAGATGGGTGGGAGATTCTAATCCATTACACGCCTTTTTGTCAACTTCAGCGCATGTCTTCTCACAGTCTGCTAGCTGTCCGTTCTGTGTGTGCTGAAAACAATCCAGTGTTTGTTCTCAGCATTGGCTCTGTAAATGGGAAACAAACAAAGTGGCCCACACCTGGCCACACAACACTATCCCAGCTATGATGTGTGTGTCAGTAACGTTAAATGGTTTGCCCACTGACATTCAGCTTATTTTCTATGACATGTTCTGGTCGTGATGTTAGCTATAGAAGCAGTTGTGAGTATCACTGTCTGGAGCTGCTGTGCTGATCTTGGAACCATGTCGTATTCTCTGCATGTTAGCTTTATGTTAGCTTCACATCAGAAATTTTGGCAACAGTTTGCAAATCCACAACTTAGCTAAAGTTGCTGTGCTGTTCGCTCTATATCATGGTATTTATCATGGTGTTGGATTTCTCCAGAATCAGTCACTCCACATTGAATGCAGCTTTATAATCTGGAATGAAGTGGCTGTTTGTCTAATATTACCAATATTCCAAAAGATTCAAATGTGCTTTACTTGCTAAAATTCTCCAATGACTCTTGAGGGGTTGGCTTTTATGTTTTTTAGTCTTTTGAAGTTCAAGTGTCAAGTTGAAGAAAGAATGAAGAATAACATATTTCCATAATAGTTACTAATAGTTCCATAATATTACTCCAGTTAGAACACTAGATGGCAGCCTTTGTCTTCTCTTATGTTTAGACTGAATCTCAGTTTAAGGTTTACTGTACTTTGTTAATAGCATCAGGACTTCTGCTTACTGGTTGACAAAGGTTTGTCTACCAAAACCCCTTTCATAAGATGAATAAAAATGGAGGATTTATGTTGTATTATGTTCAATTCTTGTTTGTTTATTTATTTATCTATTTCACATACTGGAATTTGGACAAGGTTGGGCCCCTAATTAGAGATGTGTTTTAAACATGCATTAAACTATACTGCATCATCTAGACTTAACTAACAACCTAGATATTAACTATATGGTTTGAAGACAGCTCTTCAAAGTGTTGACAAAAGAAGGTTCTCCTGAGCCTCACTTTCTCACACATGATGAACATCCTTCGGCGATGCATTAGATTTCTAAAGAACTCTGTCTTCCTCACTGAATTGTTCTCCATTTTCGACAGCTCTGCTCCCATGGGAGTACACTGACCCCTATGATTATGTTCATAGGCACAAGCAGCGAGCATGCCTACTGTCGTGCTGATTATCACCCGCATGACAACCCAAGCCCCCTCCTACTGTTTCCACCCTATATTCACCTCTCTCCTCTTCTACATGTCACACTCACTCTTGACTTGTATGCGCAAAGCATAAAAGCTTGATCTCAAATTTCCGGTTTCTGAGATGTAAAAATTAGCAAATACTCTGTCGGATCATATAACTACTTTCAGTCCCCCTAGGTTCTTTTTTTCTTAGCTTCTCCTGATGCATACCTCCACCTCGATGATGTGATGTGACAGACAGCTTTTTGGGGTAATTGGAGAACATTTTGAGAGCAAAAGAGAAAAAAAAACACTGCCCACCTCTATGTAACAATAATGACATGAGCTGGACAGTTTTGGAGTGGATTTATTTTCAGTGTTCTCAAAGGGGACACGAGGAGAGTTGGAGTAAAGTCATTGTCAGACAGCCCTGGGAAAGGCTTGTAAGAAGACACCTTGGGTCTCAGCTGCAATGTTTCGGCAGGATGAAGGTGGAGAGGTGGCTTTGTCTGGCTACTGTATGATTTGGATAATGGACTTACACATACATCATGATGGTGAGCTCATCCACAGAGCTTGATGGGGCTCAGAGAAGAACTTAATTCTCAATCTTTATCCAGAGCATGAAACAGTAGGGTATTACAACTAGTCTCTTGACACTTCTACACTCTGAACATCACATTTAATGCAGTTGGAGGTGACACCTAAATTTTCTCCAATCATTAACAAGTTTGAGTGTTAGTTAGCTACTATTAGCTACTATAAAGTGCTCTAAAGCCTGATATTATTACTGTATAGTGGTAATTCTATATTGCATTGGAAGTAATTGCATGGGTTGATTTATTTTCAGAAGTGGAGGGGACACAACAAAAATGAAAAAACAAAAACACTGCTGTCCTGTCTTATATTTGACTGGTGTAAATTTCTAACATCTTTTTAGGAGAATGTTAACTGTATATTGTAATATTGATTAAATGTTTGATAAACAAAGCCCTGGGCCCTCAGCCCTGAATAGTGAAATAATGGAATACTACCGTACATTTTTTGTCAGTTTTCGTCTGGTATTGCTGGTATTGCATCTCATCAGAGTCAAAGTCTGTCTTTGGCAAACCATCTTAGGAAATGAGGCTGTTCGGAATAACTAGAGAAAGCAGTTTGACATGTTTGTTTGACATACTGGAAGAAAATAAAAGGTTTCTTAATTCTTTATACATACATATAATGAGGCTTTACTGTCTGTTATCAGTATTATACAGTCAATGTTACTGCCTTTGAACAGTCTCTCATTAGAGGTGTTTCTTCAAGATGCTTTCTTTCATCGAATAGAAAAAGCAATATTTTACAAATGCACGTCCTAAACAAGACCTGTGTGCATTATCAGTGCTTTGAATTGTAATTTAAGAGCATGTTGGTGCTAATGCAGGTTTCCAGAAGGATGAGATCATCAAGAAAACAACAAGGCTATCAAATGCTCCTTGAGCATTCTGTGTTGTCACCTAATACCTGATGAGGAACAAACAGCACAGCTTTTATGTTCCCCTGTCTGCAGGGTTTGTGTGTGTGTTACAATAGGACAGCCTTGTGTATAGGAAACTCTGTATCCTTAATGTGTTCTGTAATGGACCATCTTAGAGTTATCCTCACCAGTTATTACTGTTGAGCTTTCTTATCATTGTAATGATAAATAAAAAGGTATGTTAACATATTGCCTGAATTTAACACTGAAGTTGCACATACATACATTCGCCGTGGCTGAAAGCTAGAACCAGTAGGCTGGGGAGCATCTCTACAACTGCTACTAACCCTCTCAAACCACTTCACATTCCTGATGGATAAGGGTCTGGTCCATCCAGGTGATAACTCTATCCTGGATTCTATGGCCCTCCCGACACAGCCGCATCTCCTCCACCTCTCCCGTGGCTAGAGTTGGCCACAGCTCCTCCTGCTTCCATTCCATTTCCTCCACCTCTAGCCAGTGCTGGATGGGCAGCTGGTCACTCCACCATGAGGAAAAACTGCCGGAGGCGGCTGTCATCAGATGCTCAATAAGTCTACCATGAACTGAGCTACTTCACCGCCGTCTGCCTGCGAAGACCCTGGCAGCTCGCACACATCATTTCCTTGTCCTCTTTTTTCCCCCCACTGATCATGACTGACTCCATAATCAGGAACATCCGCTTTGTAAACGCCACCACACAATGTCTTCCCAGTGGCACAGTCCCGGACATAGTAGATAAACTCCTGGAACCTCTGCCTTTACTGCCGGAAAGCACTGTGGAAAATCTGTTTTCATTTCTGGCCCCATTCCCACTCTCAGTCGTGGGCCTATCAATTCAAATAGCCGTATCCTGAGCCCGTACACCTGGCTCCAGTCCGCATGCAGCGCTTGTTCCTACTATGATAATGAACTACAATACACAAAATAAAGCTACTCTGCCCCCAACTTAATTCACCTCCTAATCATCTCCCTTCTGGTCTCTCAAGCATATATGAAAATCTGACTCTTAAATGCAAAGTCTTTAAACAAATCCTTTTTGTGCAATGATTTTATTACATGGGGCACTGATGTAGCCTTAAATTTGGATCTAAAAGATGTTTCTCTGTGACTATGGACAAACATGCTCTATGGCAGAGTTTTTCAAAGTTTTTCAGGAGAGGTTCAGTGAATGGAAGTGAAAAAAACATTACATTAGTTATCGGGAGGATAGCCTAAATGTGTGTGATTTAGTTGAATAGATTTAAGAGATACTATAGTTTGGGTTTATAATAGTTTATGTATATAGTATATAGTTTATAATTTTACTGTTTTTCCCACTCTCCCATAGTCAGAAATAAATAAATGCCTAAGGACCGAGCTTGGGGTAGTTTTTGACCAGGAAGAATTTTTTAAATGAAGAAAGTTGTTCAGTTTTGTTTTGGTCATTTCCTGTGGCTCAGGAGATAGAGCGGGTTGCCCATTAATTGGAAGGTTGGCAGTTCAATCCCCGGCTCATCCAGGCTGCATGTTGAAGTATCCTTGGGCAAGATACTGAACCCTGAATTGCCCATGGTGGCTGTTCTGCCAGTGTGTGAATGTTAGTTGAGCACTGCGGCTCAGTGAATGAATGTGTGTAAAAGCACTTTGAGTGGTCAAAAACAAGTAAGGTGCTATACAAGTACAGAGTTTTTACATTTAAATATAGCCATGG